CTCTATGCTGTGAATGTGTTGGGGATATCTTCATCTTTAAGAGGCTTGTGGCTCACCGCAGAACACGTTCTTTCTATTTCTTCAGCACACGTCAAGTTTTAACGGTATTTGAATCCTTCGGTTGATGACACTCGCGTAATGGACAAGTGAAGCTAATCGCAATGAGGAAGCATCGAAATTTCGATCGATATCACTCCATAATATCCTTCAATACGCCTTCCAAAAAAAGTCATTAAAAAAATCAAACATTAATCAACAATTCAAATTTTCGTGCATTAAAAATTGTAATTGTAAAACAATAATTCGAAATTTATTCGTAATTCAATTCTACATCATTCATATTTTCATTTCTCATTCTCACTCGTTCAAAAATTTCATAATAAACTGAAAAATATATATCCACAACATCAGAGGCCAAATGACGAATTCGGTATTGAATATATATTATATAATATTCTGACGGGTAATATTATTATTGAATGATATTTAGAGTGGTAACTCGACATGGGGTGATTGCTAAAAAAATTATTTGGGACTCATCCCTTCTTGCTTTCTCGTGCCCCGGGTCCCCCGGGACTCAGAGTCGTGACTACCGTTGGTTCGCACGATACTTCCATTTTTTACGGTTAAGGGAGTACTTGGCAGCAGTGATTTCGACGAGGGGATAGAGGAGGCATAGAATCTAGCGTGTGCGATTAACTATCAGCTAAGATCGTAGGTTAGTTGGGGTCGATACTCCTTTAATGTCTTTTACCTTTGGCACTGGTTGTTGGAGATGGATAACACAGATAGAATTCGATGGAATATCAGACTGCGAACTCAATCTCACAAAAGCTTTGCATAATTTTTTTACGACAATTAGAATGACTGAAGTAATTATTATGGCACGTTTTAATTGAAATCCAAGAATTATGGCATGAGTCATGCTCGGTTTTTAGAAAAATCGACAATGTCACGTTGAGTTTCGGTGTTTCATGCAATTGTCGTTTTTGTTTGAAAAAGTTTGTGTGACATTATTTTTTAAAATCTGTTCCTGTTGAATAAAATGAAAGTCTTTGAAACGTCACGTTCAGTTCGATTGTTTAAAAGCTCACAATTGCCGTGAATTGCTAATGATCTTATCATTACATCCACTTCGTTCAGACTTTATCATCATAGTATTGATTTCAGTGAAGAAATTCTGCCCGACCTGGACGAGTCAGTTTTTGCTGAAACACGATGGAGTCCAGGAGCAATGAACAAATAATACTAATGAGCATTAACAGGCTGAGACCGCTATTACGCCGATTCTGCAAAACTTTATCGACCGGTGATCTTTACATCTGCGACACAACAACGGGTGTTTGGCACAGAAAGAGAAGCCACATCATGGAACACATCCTGAAATTGGTGATTAGATTCTCAACCTGCACTCTGAGCAATGAGCAATTGGATGAATTTTTGATCTTGCTCTTGATGAAGGAGTGGCAGAAGGAAGTGTACAAAATGGTGCTCGAGCTGACAGCAGACGAAGACATCGACAAGCGATTTGTGGTAAACGAGGACCGATTCGTCCTCAACAACGGAATGATTGAAAGGGGCAGTAAAAAATTGCGCAAACCCGATCCCGAGGATTATTGTCTGTCCGGTGCTGGCTGGTCCTTCAGAGACGAACTGGTGCAACGACACAGTGGTGAAGTTCGAGATTTCTTTCAGCGACTTGTGCCAGACTCAAATGAACTGACGATATTGCTGATATATTTGGCCTCGCTGATGTACGGCAAACGGGCCGACGATAAATTTCTCATCCTCCGGAATAAAGATGATCAGGCTTTTGATGGTGCGATCAACAATAATGGAAGTGGAAAGACTACGCTGTTGTCACTGCTTCGGACATTCTTTGGTAAGTACATCAATCAAAGACTCTTTGTAGCTGATGATGTGAAGTCAAACAGTGAGAAGCTGCTCCAGTCGATGACTGAAATTGGTGCAGTTCTTGCTGAAAGTAGATTCTATCGATTGCGGATTGTCACCGAACTGCAGAAACAACGAGCTGTTGTGATACCAATGCGCAGCCGTTTTGTATCACCAGCTGATGCTCATGCATCCAATCGTATCTACAAGCGTGAAATTATCAGTGATGATACATTTGAATTGTGGCGCAGTGCAATTTTGGATTATGTACTGGATTATCGGGTTGATGATCATGGATTGAGTCTCTTACCGTTGCCACGATCAATGCGTCTGACTCAGTGTCGTAGAGAAGATTTGCAAGCTGACGATCCGATCTTTGATGACTGGATAGAGAAGCATGTCCTGGTGACTGATAATCGTGAGGATTCGGTATCATTACGAGATGTCTACATCGAGTATCGCAAATGCTTTCAAGGAACCAACCCACTGCCGATACGCCGTTTTATCATAAAGGCTGAACGTTTTCTTCGCGACAGACGGATTTCATTTACTAAACGATATCGTTACACTTTGAACCGGAGGCATTACGAACGGCGCAATGTCGTTCATCAGGTTCGTCTGCTTCTTTCCCCTCAAACTCTACCAGAAAAAAGAATTGCGGAAGTTCCTGAAGTCGCTCCCGAAGAAACTCCTGAAGTTCCAAAAAATCCTGAAAATCCTGTAATTCCTGACACTGAAGAAGAACACGAGGAGGAAAATGAAGAAGAAAATGAAAAATCAAATGGAAAAGAAAATGAAGAAAGAAATGAAAACAAAAATAAAACCCCAGAATCAGAACCTCAAAATAAAATTTCATAGACCAGTGCGGTTATTATTATTCTGCATTTGTAAATTCAGAGTCAATAAAATATTCATTGGATTATTTATTTCACGTCGAATCAATGTGGAATGTTTATATAAATTAGTGAATAGACTGTGGATGATTTTACTCAAACAATTGGCCTTTGCGACATCGTTTTATGCGAGATGGTTTTATAGCGGAGATGAGTGATGTATTTTGTCCATCGAAGCAAACTGACTGGCTGTGTTTGCAAATTTGATGTTTGCGACAATACGACAGACTCTTGCTGCAATTGAAGCATTGAGCACAAACGTAGCACTCGCGTGGCTGTTTTATACTCTCGATGCCATTTTCATCGAGTTCACCCATCATCACGTAGACATCGTCCCATGGTATTCGCTTGCCGCACGTTGTAAATGTTCTGACATTATCAGCATAAAGTCCTTTCCACTGAATACATCCATCCGAGCACATGCACGCCATTTGGCGCTCCAAATGAATATACAATTTGCGTGGATACACTGACATCATAGAAAAACGACAAAGTCTATCGTTGCTATCGATATTAGCAACTTTGACCGATGGTACAACTCCGTAGTAGACAGACTCGTTTCCCTCCACCGAGCATTCCATAAATTTGTAGCCAAGTATTTGCCCTTCAATTACACGCAGGTACAAATCATTGCGTGTCAGTGGTGGTGTCATCTTGTCGCCAATGTGCATTACGTAATTCCATCGGGATTCTAGGACAGATTTCAGTGATCGTGGCGCGTATTGGAGATATAGGGAGAAGTCTGAGTCCGTCAGGACTGTGTAATCCGCGAATTTTGACAGGTAGAAGCCACGCGAGCTGATGAATTTTGCGTTTGCTATTGTGTAATCGTTCCCTTGGAATTCTGAAATCATCGGTCTTGGCGGTGGTGCCTCCAGCTCTGCCAATTTTTGCTCTGCCAAGCGTTTATTCTCACGCATTTGACGCTTTATTCGCTGCTGATAAGCCATGATAACACGACGCGGCTCTTGATATTTCTTTCGAGTTGAGGCGGATACTAGGAGTTTTTCTTTGTAGTTGAATCCTTTTGACAGATTGTGTAATGCCGTCTTTTTGATTTTTGCGCAGTCTTTGTTGCGTGATGGAGCTGAATCGATTGACAATGGAATCGTTGATGTCGGTGATGACAGGGCGATGACAGGAGCGTCCACATTCTTCTTTCTGGTTGTTTGGTTTGCTTCTGATGGTGCAAGTGCTTCTTCCTCGGCGAAAATCGCTCGCAAAAGTGTGACTCTTTCATTTTTGTCCATTTCATTGGAATTACCAGTGCAGATCAGAAAATTCAGGTAAAACTCAGGGACAAATTGAGATGATGATTCTGGCCAATTTTTTATTTTCCATTTGTCAATGCTGCACGTTTAGTTCACGACTAATCATCAGCCTCGTGGCTCTCTCTATTTATCCAATTGAACGACTTGATAAAACAACTGAATAATTTTGCTATTACAATTTTCTACCGATTCTTAATTATTCTCAAAAATTAATGATTTCAGCCAAAATCAACAATTTAAATTAACATTATCATGCTAGCATAAACCAACACAATTATTTATAAATAATAAATCCCCAACAAATAGTAGATCAAACAGAAATAAAAATAATTAATTAATCAGTACTATTGGCATCTAGAGTGAGTCAAGCTGCGAAAAAAAATTAAAATGAAATTTGATTAATTATCTTTGGATAATTACCACGAAGAGTTGCTTCACGCATATCAGGATGGAGTGATGAATTAGGATGTGTCGTTTATATTTAGGATTTGAAGGGCCCAAGGAGGTGTATTGGTGGGAATATTTTTTGGATCCGTTGCTTTAGGAAAGAGAGCTTTCACCACATTCTTCAACCACATAGGACTCGTGTACTTCACCTGCGGTTGTTTACGTTTTACACATTCGAGTAAATGTTTATTGCAGAGAGTCAAGCGCTTCTGGCCGTCAGTTATTATGTGAGAGTGTACGAAATCGGAGGGGCTGGAAAATTCATTGAAAGACAGGAAATTAGAATCGAGATCGTGAAATATCGAGACGATCATTTTAAATATCTCGTAATCATTCGCTAAATTTGAGTGAGCAATTGGTGTGAAGTACATTCCGTCCGGTAATTTCTCCCAGAATTCGTCATTCTCGGTGCGGGTGTTGTACATTTTTTGGGCGTAAGATGTGGTTTCTTTCACGGCTACTATATGATAAAGAGTTTCATTCATGATTGCCATTTCACATTTCGATGATTTGTGAACGTGACAGTTCCAACGGCCGCTAACGTTTGCCTCCATTTTTCTTCAGCGATACTACTTAATCTGGGGTAATTAGACTTATTAAATAATTCAATAAATAATTAAATAATTCTCGTTTGGGTTCCTCACACATTGAGATTTACGAAATGTTACGTGAAAATTATTCCACGTTATGATTCAAGAAATTCTTTGTGAATTTCGCAGCTTTCAGAGAAATGGCGCGACTTTGTCGCACTCTTTTCATAACAGACCCGATAATTAAATAAACATTTCAAATTTTTCACTTGTATTTTTTCAGAAATTCACTGGAAATCTTTTTCATTTGCGCATGACCTGAAATTTTCTGCAATCGATTTTTCTCTGATATTGAATGTTTCGCTCGTGGAATATTATTGATTGAGTGAATGATAATAAAAAAGCTGGCGTCCCTAAGTAATCTCTAAAAATAGAAATCACCAGAGGATAAGCAGTCAGTCGAGCAATGGACATCACTCCGGAAGATTCAATAAGTCTTTTGGATTACGATTACACTAAATTTGATTTGGAAGTTCTCGACGTTGAAGAATCGAATTCATCGAATTACGTTAAAGTGGATGATCTCAGCGAGGACGAGGACGCCGAAGACAACATCAATATCATAATCAATACCCTCCCCCGGGACGAAAAGATAAATCTCAAAAAAATCCTGGAAAGCAATGTCTTGGAGTCGATATCAATCCCTCCATCGAACAATCCTTATCAACTGCAGGCAGATGACTTGGAAGTCCGAAACGAGATATCGAGACTCGTAAAACTCTCCATAACACCAAGAGTAAATAAATTCATAGCAATTCTCGTGGATAATCAGCTGATTCTTGTGCCAATTGATGTAACACTATCGGATCGTCTTGCGGCTCATGTGTGGCCACCGGCAAAACCGTACGTCAAAATTCCAATGCCATTTGAGGATGAGTTCAATAACTTGCTCATACCCAATCACCGACGAACGGAAAAATTTGCAATATTTGGGGTGAAATACAACAAAACGAATTTTACGCAGTACGATAGATCGAGTTCGTTTCTCGATTCGACATCGAAATACACGCGTTATCGAAGTGATGATCATTTTGAACGGCAGTACGACTCATCCTGGATGTACATGGGCCAACAAAACGACGCGGACTCCGGACGTATCAAACAGAGCAGCACCGGTGTTTATCGTTACTGCGATTTTTCAGCAATAATTATCGAAAATAACAGAGTCATTGACTACGCGATTCACGGATTTCACAGCAACATCGCGGAGATGATTGAAATTCATAAACCACGGCGAGTCTATTACAGCGCACAACCCGGTGATGCCTTCTCCGTTTTTATGAATTACGAGTATCAACCGTTTTATCAGTGCACTCGAGGTATTTCAAGGGCTATCACGATACATCGGGGTAGGGGTAATTTCAATCCTCTACCTTTTTGTGTACGACAAGACGCCTTTTGCGCTTTTTGCAATGGATTGCGCGATGTACGCGGATTTATCAATAATCCGGATGTATCGCAGAGTCTCAAGATTCCTCAGCAGTTGCGGATGTTTGTGAAGAAACGGAGACATAATTACTATGATATCGCATGCAGACAACCGATCCATAATTCACGGCCTAGGCCACTTCATGCACCTAAAAAAAATGGACGCAATGTGACCATTCGTCGCCTGATGAATAACATTGGATGAGGCTAACTACTATTTTATTAATTTTTATAGTTTTTGCTGAGAATTTCATTGATAGATGGAATTTTTTTAATGTATGTGTGTGTGTAAATAAATTTATATTCAATTTTATGTTGGTGAAGTGACGGAATTGATTTTTTTCGTTTTTAATAATAAAATCGATCAATTCAATTTGTCATTAATTACTTCTCTATTTTTACAGCAAAAATGGAAATATAATAAATAATAGATCAGGTCCTGAGTTCTGGATTTTTCTTATTCTTAAAAATCTTTAAGTTTTATCGTTTTTTTTTCACTGGAATTATTCGTTCTCGATACGGGGCAAACGATATCCATGCCCTTGTGTCGCTCGGTACTCGATCGAAGTGAAAGCTCCATCATGAATGAAAACCTGAAGATCAGCAACTTCGACAAATTTCTTATCAGCACCAGAATCCAACAAAAATGATCTGCACCGTCGGTCGATATCCAGAGCAATCAAATACAGAACATACAACTCACAACTCGTTGAATTAAGAATAAACGGATTGACGATGATTGTCCCAATGACTTCTGCCATGATTCAGCAGCGACTGATACTCTCAACTCATGAGCTCCTGATTTTCCCCCTTTTATACCGAATCATTCCGAAAAATCGGTAGTACATTTTTTTCACAACCAGTTTCCCCCGAATATCTCGAAATCGAAGGACGATGACGATTTTTTTATGAATATCTTTTTTGTAGCTCTCATTATTTTCTACAAAAAATGTTAATACAAAAAATTCGTTATGTTCCTTCCATTCCGAGATATTGACTGAAAACTGGCTATGAAAAAATGCACTTATCGAACAGTTCGACAGGTGTTCTCCTCGCTCACTCTCCAAATCGAAATTAATTAATTCTTATCAAATGAGAGTGTTTGCGGCATAAGATTGTCGAGCACTGAATCAACAGCTAATTTTTTTCCCGAAGTATTGAAGAGAGTGAAGCAATTGGTGCAATTTTTATTATCCATTTCAGTTCCAAAAGCAGTGATATCAAAAATCGAATGCAAAGTGGTACCATGTTCGTTGTACTTCGCATGAATATCAGCGCCATCGGGTTTCAAGGGATTAAATATATCGGAAATAATGTGCTGCGCCACATGATCGCAAACGATCGAACAATTAATAGTCGCTGTATCGATATCCCTCAGTTGTGGATGCACATCGATCGGATTGTAATTCTCAATCGGAATAATCCCCGACGCCATAATTACGGGATTATCACTCAATTTAACGCAGAATTCATCATACATGGGTGAGTAGAGATAAAGATGTAGATGGCTGTTTGGTAAATCAATGTCATACCATACCGGTTCCGGTAGAGCTATCGATGACGAAGACATTGTCACTTTTGAGAAGACAATGTTGTTGTACTGAAGAATATTCGCTACAATATTCGGTATGGCGTACTCGCTCTGTTCTATATTACGTGATAACAGTATCAATTTACTCTGAGTTGTAGAATTGAAGAGAATATCGAAGTATGAGCGAATAAAATATGTGAGTTCAGGTTCTAAAACTCCGGTCTTTGATTTTACCGATCTCTCATTAACAATCGCCTCACCACCTGGCACTGCTATTTTCTTTTTTTTTCTTACCCCCTCTGGATCCGTTGTCCTCTTATCAGAGACCGGAAGTTCATCTTCCGTCTCCTCGATCGTTCGTTTATTCTCACCTTGCATCATACTCTTCGTGATTAATGAATTTTTAATCTTCGATTTATCAGACGCGATCATGACTACTAAATTAACAGCATAAATACAAGCATCAATTTTCCTCCAGTACTTCCTCACTAATTATTCTTCATAAATTGTTAATATCTCTTTAATAACGATTTTATTTTGATGTCAGGATAATTGAAATTGAACGGAGGAAATTGAGAAATTACGTCATCACCGATTGTAATGGAAGTCATTCATTATAGATTTTTAATTACCCTATTAAAATGCCGCGGATAGACAAGGGATTTTTGATTCTGCTGTGGGCAACTGGAATTTTCTAATTCCTGGTTTTTTCCGCAACTACTGCTCCAGAATTTTTGCACAATTTGTCGATTTTTTCAATACTTGCCCACAGAAACATTAAATCCCTTAAAAAATTCCTCTGCACGAGGACCTAATTGCATTTATTTTCGGAGATCTTGTATTTTTCTTGGAGTAAAATAAAGATGAATACTCATTACATATTTTACATATCCATTAAAAAAAAATATATATATATATAAATTCAGTATTTATAGGTCCTACATATCGGGAAATCTTGCAAAAATAAATTTGAATAATTGCAATTGGCAATCTGCAATTTACGATTCGAGTGGATTTGAGACTATAAAGATTTTCGTTTTTGTTTTAAAAAAATCATTGGCATTTGGGTTGTGGGAGAGGTTTTCTCCGGACTTTGTGGTTTGATTGTATTTGATGTAGTATTTTAAAATGAATTTCTATGATTTTCTCAACCAGCAGGCTCTTCGCAGGGGAAAGCTATTTAGTTCGGACTACCAGCAGCCAGATTGGACTCCAAAAGTCGATTTTCTCCCGAAACAACATACCGGTTTTACTTGCAACATTGAGACACGAAAACCGCTGCATTACAAAAGCGTGTGCGATGATCGAGCTTTGGTTTCCCTGGCTCTAACAAAAAGTAATTCTGAAACTCTATTAGCATACGCTAATAAAGTACCGATCATGTGCATCAATGTGTCCCGATTCAAATACACCCGTGAGGCATTTGAGTTGCAATATCCTGACAGCACAGATTCCGCTCTAGAATTTTATTTGCACACCGATATATTGTATGAGCGATTGAGAACACCGCCTACTCCGCAAAATCTACAATTTTCCAATCTTCTTCATCGGCTACAAACAAATGGTTATGAAGAATATATTTTCGAGCTTGCGAAACACTTGGAATTCGACGTCGATCTCATAGTTTCCTCTTCAGATCAAGAGGAAAAGGAACACGAGCATCAGCCATTGCTCGTTTTTCATTATACTTTCACGGGATTTCCGAATAAATCGCGAAAAAATCAGTTGTCCGGTGTAATTACAGCTGTCAACAATGGCAAATGGTACGTGAAATCTACAAGTTTGCCGATCGTCGCGAGAACTTAATTTTTGTCACAACTCAAAAATATTCTTAAGATTTCACACCAAGAGTCTACCAGATTTTTTAAAATCAATTCTCATCATAAATTTGCAACAATAAATATTTCCAGATTCGCATATTAATATGCATAATTTATTTCGATGTTTTTGCAGTAAGTGATGGGAATATTTATGTTGTTCGATAATTTGTTATTACAGATAATGCAATCTTACGATAGGTGAGATGTCGACGATAGATTTTTGAGTGAGTGCTTCTTGAAACATGTCAGGGTGAATTCGTGGTAAATAAACGTCGAGTGTTTCGTCACTAGGTGCTTTCTTCCTCACCATTTCCGTCACTGCATATTTAATTATACTAATGATAGCGTCAGCAGTAACTTGTGATGTCTCTTGTGTGGGATGTCGATCGACAATGAATATTCCATCATCTTCAAACAATGCAGATCCTAGGGATAGAGGCTGGATTGAATCTTTTCCGTCAGCCACTTTGCCCTTGGTATCAGCGAATTTTATGAACATTCTCCCTATATAACAAAATGAAAGAAATAAATAGTAACAATATCGTCATCAATCACGATAACGCACGCAATTCAGAAGCTGTGAATACAATTATCCGGTTTCTTCTATTTTCTTTAACGATTTTGCATATCGGTTTCAATTTCGTGAGTCTGGGTTGAGGCAGTTTTTTCATTCAAATATTTTCTCATAATGCACAAACTTCATTGAGGTGATCAATTGTTTGACATTTTCAAAGAGTCGTACCGATACGATCGGCAGATCGTTATATTCCGGGATTATTCAATATGAATGAGTGTCGAAATTCACGTGGGATATTCTGCTAGCCCATTAAATAAAAAAATGCGAAAAATATCAAACACAGGGAAGGATCAGGAAGTCGTGCCGTCCTGCCTAGATCGCCTGCAGAAAGAGGTAATGGGTTATGGAATTTATTCCACCGAGCGACAGATTCGCGTCATGAGAGACATTTCACTGTTAATCCACACCAACTTTCCCATTCATCTTGTAACTATGGATTTTGACATTTGCGTCAGTCTCCAGACATTATCGTTGTCGTTTCTCATGATTTGCAGGCACTCAAGTGTTTGGAGGAATTCCCAAGAAAAGTCGGCGATCTCAACGGCATCATCAAGATTTACACACCCAAAACCGGAAGTGTCGACGCAGAGACGATCGACAGACTCCTGGGATCTAGATCGATATCGTCTGGCATCGGGGAATATAATGTCACGTCAGCTCCAGATTTTCAAGGTAATCTCTCAAATTAATGAGCAAAAATCGTGGGATTTGATCGGTAAGTTTTGTTCAGGGCGCATTGAGAAATCGAAATTTGATTTGACATCTCTGACGAGCTACTGCACTTTATCAACGTTTGAACGTGGGAGAAATCGGCATGGCATATGCAAACGGCGATATTACAAAATTCACCGATCACGGGGCCTTGTAAATCGACGCCAACCTGGTGCACTTGGACAACTCCTGGCTTTCTTCACCAGCAAATTGGCGATCTGCACGAAAAATATGGTGATAGCTCCGTCTTTGTATCTTGTGCAGAGGATTATTTCAATCCTCTTTCAGAGGTCAGTTCGTTATTTAAAAAATCGACTGAATAGTATTTCGATAAATCGATCTAATTCCCTTCAAATTAATAATCAACTCCCATGAAAGCTTAATTCAATTAATTAAATTAATTAATCATTGAAGATCATGAGGTACAACAGATCGATTTGAAAAATCTTTCGTTTTCGTGAGATTTCTATAGAAAAAAATCGGCGTTTTCAGCTTTAGAAGACCGAAATAAAGTGATAACTAGATTTGGAAAATGTTTTTTTTTTATTTTCTTTGAGCAGACGAGAACTGAGGAGTGTCCAGTGCGGTCCGAGTGCCAATTCAAGTAATTCCCTCTCAGCATCTGTGACATCCCTGAAAGAAGACAATACGGCAGTTGGAAATTTCATAAGCGTCATGAGACCAGTAGCTGTCCAACTGATATCCGACACCACAATAGTAACGATCACCCCCCCAGTCTCTCAATTAATAACCCCTAAATTAATTATTGTCACGAATTCAAGCTGAAACGGTGGCTGCAAGCCCTGACCACCAGTGGCTGTCACTCGTCCATCGAATTGACCAATGCAACCAGAAATACAGAGACCATCGACTGCTGGGCTTATGAACTCTTCTTCCACCTCAAGTACCTCCAGGTCAATCGCGCTCGTGATGCCGACAAAGTATTCACTATTATTCCATTGTACCAGTCTTACCAGTTAATGATTTTTCTACTCCACAGGCAACTGATGGATCCGGAATCAACGACGACCTGACACACCTCAATCTGTGGCACAGAATGGTTCAACTCCGTGATAATTACATAATTCTGTATGAAATTCTTCATGGGAATCCTCAAATGAATTGCGTACTCCATCCTGAGTTCAATCTCGAGTGAAACTTCGTCTACTTGATAACAAATGATCATAATTAATGATCGCAATTAATGATCGAGAGAATTTCGAGAGTGATGATGATAATTACAGCAATTGTACCGATTTTTAGGGATTAAATTCACTGTATTAACAAATTGTTCTATTTATTTAACTGAAATTGCTGGATTTGCTTGTTCCACTTTATCTTTATTTCTAGCATTTGTAAGGGGTCCGGAGTCTTCGCATTACGACAGAGTGACTCTCCATTTCTTTTAATACAGAGTAATGCTCGTCTTTCATCTACCCTCAGTACCATTAATCTTTCGAATATAAACAATGTCCCTCAAAGGATAGCCAAGTGATATTAGAAAAAATTTCGACAGTCACATATTGTTCGGCTCTTTATTCATGGCTCATTGCATAATAGCTCTGCTTTGCTCGATGAAAAAAAAACCGATGAGAAAATCGTAACATTCATCATAAACAAGAGAGGCATTGTTGCATCGATTTATTTCTCACTATTCTGATGTAATGAACAATAATTCCTGTCGGGACTCAAAGAAAATTACGAGATTGATACGTCACGACGACAATTTTTTTTTCAAATCAATCACTTCTATTTCCACAGGCTGTTTATTTATATTTTAAGTATTCCGAGGGAATATTTATTTTGAATTGCGTATGGTGCTTGCAATAATGAATTTTCTTTTCATGATTCAATATTGTGAATATCAAAAAATCTGTGGATGACTTTAACTTATTTATCTTATCCGTCATTTTATTTTTATAAATTACTCACGACTTCTGATATCATTTTTATATTATTTCGGGGTTTATCGCCTCCGATAGCAGACATGAATAGCTTGAAACAATCTTGAAGAAATTTCTTTCTTGCTTACAATTTTGTGCGAATTCCTAAAAGAAAAATTCCACAAATTCCTGAAAGCCGAAAGGAATTCATAATAATTGTTTCCACAACGTTTGAGTCATGTAAGAATGATCAACGCCAAAGAAAGATCCTATTCATATTTTCTCAGGACATCAACAAAAACTTCCATAACAACTTTTGCCCCATTCCACACCCACAATGATGTTTCTTTCCTTATCGTTATTTTGTTTTGTTGTGGAATCGTTATGGAGCGGCCGGGAGCCAACTTGCAGGTAGTAGCTAGCTTATAAAGTCTCTAGTCAACATCGTTGAACAATATAGCATGAGAAAGTCAATGTTATACCCCTTACATGCAGGAAAGGGGAGGGCAACCACAAGAGCCCACACACGACGATATAATCGGTCAGCATGTACCTTTGAGAAAACCATTATACGAGAATCTTTTTATTCCTCATTTTTTGCCTCACAGTCACGCTTGCAAAATTGTTATATTAAAATCATAATAAATTTTCTATTTACTCATCACCATTGCTGTACCAAATATCACCAGGAGTACCTCCGAATTTATTCAGAATGAACAATCACTCGATTTAATCCTAAATATTTATTGCAAGTCACGGCTTCTAAGCCCTAATAATTTCTTAGAGAACGCGTGCTCGACGTCCTCATCATCTTCGAGACCAATTTTATCTGCAGGAGAAAGAGAGAATGAGGGAAAGGACACCGTTCTGTGCTAGATCTTCTCGCAATTTTCATTTGAATCCTGGAAATTGGATATCACATGATAATTCGCGATCATTGCAATATTTTTTGTAATAAAAATGTTCAATAGACCGCGCTTGCTGAACCTCGCGGATGATTTTCAACAGATATTCCTTTCTCTTCGTTATTTTTTTTTTCTTATTCCCCCAGTGATTGCTGGCGCCATTGCGTCAGCGGATTGCGATCCAAATTTGTATACGACCGGCTGATGATGATCGGATGATATGCGTTGGTGAAGAGCATCAATTCAGAATTCGTGAAGAGAGAGGGAAAAGAATGCAGATATTTGTACCGATTGTTGTTCAGTCATTGTAAATATTACCGGCTAGACTTTTCGTCATCCTGAAAGGGCATGATGTGAGTTGACATGCTAATGTCACCTCCCCCGGGGCATTGTGAGCATAGAGCTCCTTATGATCGATGAAAACCTTTATTTTGATATGCACAGAGTGAAATTGAGAGAGAAAATAATTAATGGGCAGTTTTCACTGGTACAAAAAGCCACATTGTTCTCGAGTGTAAGGGCCTTTTCATAATTCCTGATCTCCGATGATTAATCACCTCGGAAGAGAATTAAAAAATTCCAATCAACAACAATCGAAATTTTATCGATTATAATTTGTACCTGGAGTTTTTGCCTTCGGGGCGATGATTTCACTGCGATACATCCAGGATGATGAAAACAGTAAAAATCAGGGGTGAATTAGCATAGGTAGTTGGCTAAGGGGCAGTGCGCGTTGTGTTGATTTATATTCTTGATGACGGAATTTCATTATAATCCTGGGTCTTTATGAGAACTCTGATTTTACCGTTGTAGCTTTAACTTGGGTACCCACATTTTTTTGTCTTCCCTAGATCAATTCTATTTCTAATATTCAATTATGATTCATTGATTAATTACTGTTGGTCAATGATTCACGCACATCATTTGACCCATCGCCTTCAATATCACGGGTCAAATTCAATTATTTGATATTGAAGGTCAAATGAAAAAAATTCCATCATTAATCTGAGTCTTAACCCACGCGGCTGTTTACTGTAAACCGAAATTCGGAGTACATATTTAATGTAATTAAATTGTTGTCGCGACAAATAATAAAAATAACGCAATATATGAACCAGGCAAACACAAGGCGTCGAAACAAATCCCGTTGGAATATAATAAAACTGACGGGAGTGAAAGTTATAAAATCCAATACGCAATGTAGGGTGATTGCGCCATATCAACAATCAACTATAGATTTGGCGAGCGCCAAATTCGTGGAGGGAGTGAATAAAAATGGAAATAACACTCGTAATACAAAACATGTCATGCAATATGTCACCTAGTGTTTGTCGCAATCCGTGGCTTGGCCAATATTGCGGAAGCGATAAATCAAAAAGAGAGGAGAAATCTAAAATTCCGAATGGAGTGAGCAGGACAACTTTATACAATGGCCGTGACTGACCTATCGCAATATCGTGCAGCATGGTTTCTTCCTCGGCTCTCCTGGTGACTTCTTCTTTTTATTTTATATGTCTTCTTGGCGGCGCCGTCGGCTGTCGCAAGGTATAAGTAGAAAGTCCCCAAGCCGAAGACCAGGGGATATTATCTCATCGTTAATCATCCTTCGGAAGTGGAACGTGTGGATACGAAATTCGAGGGTCAGTCTGGGCCTCTGGTGTTACACCGTTCAAAATTTTTGCATTGATAGTTGAATTCGGATGTTACCTACTGCATCAGATCGACCGATCCTATATCGATACATCGAAAAACCATCTTTTTCGATTTTTATGACCTACACAGCATTAAATAATTCATAAATTTGATCAAAAAATTCTCATTCGTTACAATTAATAAAAATCACCGGGTATATCTGTTTTTATTTACCCATCGAAGAGTCATCGCTGACCGTCAATTCAATTATCCCCAAAAATCCAGAGTCGATTCCTCGAAAAAAAGAAAAAAAAAATGCCTGAAAGAATGTCTATAAAAACCGAAAAATATGGTCTCGCGTGGTTATTCGTGATAATGCAAAATGATCTAGGGTCAGAGGAGTAAATCCTTGGGCAATTAAGGCGGCGCGCCGTTGCTCCCGCATTGAAGATCATCAATTTTCCCAGAAGGGGTGGCAATTACCATACCCGTGGGGCATTAATTATGTCGCCCAGAATGAGCGTCCAAGTTAAGTCGTCGTACAATTCTCGCAACACTTTGGTGTTTGAATCTCATGCGAATCAAACTCGGGAATTAGGTACCAAACGTGAATGCACGATATTCAAAGAGCGAATGAGATCCAAAATAGAGACATAAATCGTGTAAACAGTACCTCAATGAAATTATTTTTATAACTTGTACTCTTACCGTCAATTGATCAAGATCATGGGGTAAACCCGGGGAAAAAGGGGTTTTGAATATAAATCGTTTTTCAAACGGATTCACCTTCCACGAATCCTAAAGATAAATAGTGGTTCTGTGGTGGTTTATACAGTCGTATCTCTTATCCCTCCTCGTGCATAAGAGTAGCCCTCAGAGGGACGTTAATGAGTATACAACGAGCTTCTTAACTTCATCCAGGATCTCTATAAAAAGAATAGTCCCTGCTTAAATTTTTTTTTCATCTTCTCTCCCTCTTACTCCCAGTCCACCAATTTTTAAAGCAATTTTTTTTTCCTAATTAAGATGTAGTCAAGTTGTCCATTACGTAAAATTCTCATCTTGATTTACCGTTCACGTTTGCCAATTGGCCTCCACGGTGTCCATTTCCACTGGTTTATACAGTTGGTAGGTTGACTTAGAGTCCAAGGAGGATTGGATTTTGTCCCTGTATTCTATCCTTATTCTAAAAGTTCCTCTTCACTGGCGGTCGTCGTCCGATTCGATGCGCAACGTCGCCTGTACACTGGGCAAATGCCGAGAGTTTTAAAAAGAGACAAGTACATCCCCTTTCTGCACTCACCCGCGCTCAATCCCATGCAAATTTTATACGAATCGGTTACGGGCGGTTTTCACAAGATGAGCTTCAATGTTACTACTTTCAAGGAGGTACTATTGCCATTTGAATATCTTTTGATAAGCAACACAAGACGAGCGGAGATCAGACAAATCTTGAAGGCGTTTCCGCCTCTCGCAATCTCACAATTATCCAGACAACATCAGGCAAAAAATTCATCAGCCATAATAACTCGTGGTTGTTGAATCTAACTGGATAATTATCCCTCGTCATCACGAATTGTCCAAAAATTTGGTGAGCAAGAGGAACAGGTCGACGTTTGTCCCGGCCACAACTAGAACTCGGAGTTAGAACTTGAATCTCCATCGAAGAGAGATACTTCCATGCAAGCTGGCTGTTGTCAACGATAACATACGACATTGAATGGGTAAATGGCCTGAGTAGATAGAAAGATGGTCCCTCCTGCTATTCACTTGTTGCTGATTTAATAGATTCGTTCCGATAGCAGACACGCGTGTCATTCTGCTCGGATGGTGATG